AAAACTAGAAAAGTTAAAAACTATATTATTTATTTGAAAAACATCATTATCAATATATAAGTAGATGTTTTTTTTAGTCTTTTTTGGACTTTATAATTTACTGGACAGCTTACAATAATTAATTTAAACAATTTTTTTGAAATTTGAGCATTTATATTTGAAATACCTCAAACTCAAAATTTAAAAAAAAAWKTWATKTATTTAGATGGTTGCCATTGGTTATTGACGTTACAGTAGGATTGGATTTAGGAGTAGGGATAGGGGGGTTAAATGAGCTGTAACCCAGGACTCTCCAGTTTTATAATTATTTAATGATTAACACAGAAAAATGTATTTAATTCATATTTACAAATATTAATAAGCATATAAAATATTGAACTTATTCTTCTGTTTAAAATTAAATATTTATCAATAAAATAATAGGTATTTATGAATTTATGTATCAATGTATACATTAAAATAAATAAGCTGGTYAGTGTATGACTAAGATATTTTTGTGCCATCCACAATGATGCAAGGTTAATTATATCAATATTATTAAATGTGTTTCTTTATATATTCAGTCAAAACTCAAGATAATAAGATGTAAAACAATTGTCTGTTATATAACTAATTATTATGTTTGATACTAGAGCAATGGCAAGTTAATGTGTTCACCTTAGTACCTTGAAAAGTTTTAATGAAATTTAAAGAATATTACTATCGTTTTCAASTTAAAAAAGAAAGAATTATTTAATAATCAGAATTGTATTTGTATATTTATTTATTGAAATCAAATACTTATATAAATGTTATGAGCGTAATTATAATTACTTTCCAATTTCTGGAAAAAATTTTAATTAAACTCGTTAAGACACATACTAATGTTAATAGTATTAGATTTAAACCAGCTTTTAAGCATTAGTTTACATACATATTTAATTTACATAAAAAATAGGTCCAGAATGATGAATTAAAATATTACAAATAAATATTTGTAATTGTTTGTATTTTATACTTAAACTGAAGCAAAAGGGAAAAATATAGGAAAAGATTAATTTTAACCCAGGTAAAGTCAAATAATAGAGCTTAAAAAAAATTAAAATAATGTTGGAATTACAAAATGTAAGCATAAAAATTTATATTTATTATGGGAATAATACATACATGTTTCATTCATTAAATTAAACTAGTTATGTCCAATTTCATTGATGGACTTTGTAGCTTTATCAAAAACTTGTTTACCAGTAGGGAATGGATCTTTTTTACTTAATACAACTTTCTTGTGAGCATGCGATAAATATCCGCGTAGCGTCCCTCTATAAATCATGTTAACTAATAAAGATTGTGCTCTGTCATAATCTGTATTAGGATCATCAAATTTTTTCAATATAGCTGTTATAGTTTCAACTGGTATAATATGGTTGTTAGCAATTAGGAAACTGTAAAAAGAAATAAAAACTTTTATAATTAATTTTAATGCAATTTTTTTTAGCAATCTTCTGCAGTTCTATTTAGTGTTTTGATAGAAAATGTATAAAATTATTATTTTTATGACACAATTAATCCTAATGATTAATATATCATTTCAGAATTAACTAACAAAATAACTAGAAGTGATTAAATATTATAATTTATAAKGCTTACAATTTCTTAAACAAGTTCCTGTATACGAGATTTATCAATTTTTGCAGTAGCAAATATATTCCGCATTTCATGTAATACACTTCATTAACATCAATGCATTCTCTAAATTTTTGGACATTGCCCATTTTAATAGATTCAGTCAGATCTTTGAATACATCCAAATTATACTTATTCAGAAGATCTCTTGATGGCATTATTCCCTAAGACAAAAAAAGAAAAATAGAAGTTAATTTGTAAAATATAGTAATATGTAAATGCAGTTAACATTTATTTAATTTACATGCAACATGTTTAATGGGATAAGTTTCTTTAAAATCAATGTCTTGTTTTTTGTAGAGCTTCTATGACATCCTTCAAATGCAACTGTTAAATTTTCTCTAGCTGTAACAACCATAAATAATTGGTWATACATTTTATTACATGTTAAATTAATCTTTACGTAGAAAAATAGCTTTGACAACATGACGTTTAACAATTTAGGCTTGAACCGTGGGCAAATGCAGGGGTGTAGGGGTTTAAAACCCCCTGAAATGRTAGGTACAAAAAATAAATTATCTGACCTACAAATGCATTACTAAAATGACATTTCAAAAAATAATTAGTAAATCTATAATACGTAATATGTATATGTTTATAGTATAAGTGCCTAAAATAAAATATAGTAAGAGTGTAATACAGTATGAATAATATGATATTTATAAATACCTACTTTCAAAATACCCCCCAAATATTTTCCTGCGTTCGCCCCAGAGCCTTGAATATATACATTTTTAAAAATGTCTATGAACTGGTTTRCACCAAATTTATCTCAACAAACTGGCAAACTAACTATTCTTTGCCATAAAATCTAGCCGTGTAAGAGTGAAAGATACGTGTGCAAAAAAAAATGTTTGCCATAATTTAAGCTGATTATGTATTAAACATATGGACTTTGGACCATTTTTGAGCGTTAATGATTTAAAATAGCACAAAACACAAAAATAAGTAATTTTTATTCTTAGAATATTAAGTTCTAAGAATAATGGTATAGGTTTTACGTTTTTTAATTACATTATTCAATAAGTTATAATCAATTGAAAAAAAACACGTGATGTCATTGGGTCTTACTCACCGTAATCACCTATCTTTACGAGTAAAAGTTCCTTGCTTCTCACGATGATTTACCAACTTAAACATTTAATTTTTGAAATTAAATTTACATATTAATGAGTGGTTTTAWGTGTTAAAAACAATGCCAGTATCAGAATTTCAATATGAAATTTAGTTTTTCAWATATTAAAAATCTTAAAACAGACATTTTTGTTAAATGGCACGTCATTAGATAGTTGCAGCTGACAGACCTGTTGTTCGATTGTCGCTCGTCATTCAACATAAAAGTCTCTTAAGATTTTTAATATTTGAAAAACTAAATGTCATATTGAAATTTTGATACTTGCATCRTCTTTAACACATAAAACCACTCATTAATACGTAAATTAAATTAAAAAAAATTAAATGTTTAGATTGGTAAATGATTGTGAGAAATGAGGAACTTTTACACGTATAAGATAGGCAATTACAGTGAGTAAGCCTCAATGACGGCACATGGCTATTATACATGTCTTAATATTTCTTAAAAGGACGCCACACCYGATATATTGTCTCYGTCATACAAGTGCGTAGCATGGCAAATTTTACACTCAGCAGATCACGTTTATCTCTGTAAGTTTAAAATTTAGAGTGAATTGACCTATTATAAAAATTAAAGGCAAGATTATTATCTAGTGCATCTCATTGGCTTTTAATTATATTTTAATTTTAAAGTGAGTTATGAGTATTTTCAGATATATAAACAGTTTACAATTTTAAAATATTCATAACTCGCTTTAAAATTAAAATATAATAAAAAGCCAATAAGATGCCCYACAAAATAATCTTGCCTTTAGTTTTTATAGTAGGTCAATTCAATTGAAATTTTAAACTAATGAAGATAAACGTAATCKGCTGAGCATATAATTTGCTATGTTACACACTTGTATGACGAAGACAACACATGCAGTTATGGCRATCTCTTAAACTAACATGTTTTTTACATCGAATTTTCTGCACATCATTTTATACAGCCGTAGCTACAATAATTTAACATTTAGAAAAATGTAAAGAATTTTTTTTATGCCGTGTGCTCCTTTAAGCATTTTGTACTAATTAAAAACGCTATTATAGTATTAAATAAACAATATATGATTTTTCTAACCATCATTAAATTTTCCTTCAAATATTTCTTTACACCCAGTATAATAATAAAAGGTAACAGCATGTGCAATTGGAAATGTGTTTTTGTC